TCACCACCACCACCATCATCACCAGTATAATCATCGTCATCATCATCATCATCATCATCAGCAGCAGCAGCATTATCATCATCACCATCATCATCGTCGTCATCCTCATATAATCATCCCTATCATCATCGTTATTGACGTCATCATCATCAGCATCTTTGTCGGGATCGTCAACGTCGTAATCAGCATCATCAGCATCATCAACAGCATCAGCATCATCATATGCATCGAAATCTTCACCATCATAATCAGCAGCATCACCACCACCACCACCACCATCATCGTCGTCATCCTCAGAATCCCGCTCATCATCATCATCATCATCATCATCATCATCATCATCAGCATCAGCATCAGCATCATCATCATCATCATCATCATCATCAGCATCATCGTCATCGCCATCAGCATCAGCATCATCATCATCATGATCAGCATCATCAGCATCAGCATCATCATCATCGTCATCGTCGTCGCCGTCGTCGTCAGCGTCACCATCATCATCAGCATCAGCATCATCATCAGCAGCATCGTCATCATCAGTATCATCAGTATCATCATCATCATCATCATCATCATCATCATCATCATCATCATCATCATCATCATCATAAGCAGCAGAAGCATCATCATCGTCATCATCATCATCACCAGCATCATCGTCATCACCATCATCATCATCATCATCATCATCATCATCATCCCTATCATCATCGTCATCAGCATCATCATAATCGTCATCATCATGATAACTAGCATCGTCAGAATTACCCTCCCGCCCCCCGACCCGGCACCAGCATCAGCATCATCATCATCATCATCATCGTCGTCGTCGTTTTCGTCGTCGTCGCCTTCATAGTCATCATCACCATCAGCATCATCATCATCATCGTCATCATCATCAGCACCATCAACATCAAAAGCAGCAGCAACGTGGTCGTCTTCAACAGCACCATTATCATCATCAGCATCATCATCCTCAGCATAATCATCATCAGCAGCAGCACCATCACCACCACCACCACCACATCACCGTTACCAACAGCCAACAGCATCATCATCATCATCATCATCAGCATCAGCATCACCATCATGACAAAAATGATCATGGTCATCATGATCATGAGCATGCTCGTCATCAGCATCATCAGCATCAGCATCATCATCATCATAAGCAGCATCAGCATCATCGTCACCACCATCATCATCATCATCATCAACATCATCATCATCAACAACAACATCATCATCCGCAGTACCAAAACCACCACCGTCATCATCAGCATCAGTACCATAATAACCACCACAAAGATCGTCAGTATCATCATCATTAACATCAGCCTCAGCATGAGCATCGTCTGCATCGTCAGCATCAGCATCAGCATCAGCATCATGATCATCAGCAGCATCAGCATTGTCATCATCATCGTCATCGTCATCATCATCGTCATCATCACCTACTTACATTATCATCACCAGCATCATCATTACCATCGTCATCGTAATCATCATCATCATCATCATCAACAACAGCATCATCATCAGCAGAATCGCCACCGCCATTGTCATCATGATCCGCATAATCATCAGCATCATCATCATAAACATCATCATCATGGCAACAATCATCATCATCATCATCATCACCATCATCATAATCATCATCATCATCCGCAGCAGCAGCAGCACCATCATCATCATCATCATCATCATCATCATCATCATCATCATCGTCATCATCATCATTACCACCACTACCATGATTGTGATCATTCCCACCACCACCATCATCATCATCATCATCATCATCATCATCATCATCATCATCATCATCATCATCATCATGACCGTCATTACCTCTTCCTCCTCCTCCTCTTCCTCCTCCTCTTTACCAGCATCAGTATTATCACAACCAGCACAAACATCGTCATCATCGTCAACATCATCAGCCTCATCATGAGCATCATCAGCATCGTCAGCATCATCATCAGCATCAGCATCAGCATCATCATCAGCAGCAGCAGCATCACCACCATCACCATCATCATCGTCATCATCATCATCAGCAGCATCATCATTCCTTGCATCATCATCATCATCATCATCATCATCATCATCATCATCATCATCATCATCATCGTCAGCATCATCATCAGCATCATCATCAACATCACCATTACCATCACCATCATCATCATCATCATCAGCATCGTCATCATTATCATCGTCATCATCATCAGCAACATCATAAGCAGCATCAGCATCATCATCGTCATCATCAGAACAATCATCATCAGCATCATCATCGTCATCATCATCTTCATCATCATCATATCATCAGCATCATCATCATCAGAATGAGCATCATCAACATCATCATCATCCTCATCATCATCCGCAGCAGCAGCACCATCATCATCGTTATCAGCATCATCATCATCATCATCAGCATCATCATCATCTCTCACTCCCTCCCTCCCTGACCCCATCATCCTTCTCCTCGAGCGAGGAGGGGCGCGACGACGACGACAACGATGACGACGAGGCAGGTGAAGATGTGGTCCAGCCGAGCCTCACCACTAACATTTAAGCGTGG